TCTTTCCCTCCACCTCCCCCCCCTCCTTGCCCCAAACTTTTGTGATTAACATGGCAATGGAGATTGAACTGTGTGGATACACTGATTTGCTGGGTGGTTTGGCAAAGGAAAGCAAAGCCAAGCTACTTACCTCAGTGCAGACCCCTTTGGTGTTGCAATGCCATAGCCTTTGGAGTCCAAGTTACCTCCCACCTTCATGGTGTCACAAGGCTTGCGCTGCTCTATGTACTCATTCATCGTGGACTCCAAGAGGTAGGCATATTTCCCTTTTGACTTCCTCACCCGAATCATCCCCTCTTCCGTAGTCCTCACAAAAACGGAGGGTTCAGCTGACTTCATGTATGTCCACATCTTCTCAAATACTGCTATTTTGGATCGCTACATGGGACAGCAGAAACCCGATAGAAGCATTAATAGCGGTTTGGGTACTAGCCAAATTTCCAGGTGGACTGAGTGCATATCCATGTGCCACATAGGCCAAGGAGGTCAGACAGAGTAATGGGATGTTAATGAACCTCATGCCATTTGCAGCTCACCTGGGTGCTGTTACCTCCTGTCACCGTAAAGGTAGGATGTTTGCGTGTGGGAGATGATTTTGCTGGATAAATGGGCAAATGAAGTTTGGAGTTTGGGGGTGCTCAGAGTAACTCCTTGGTAATCTGGGGAAGCACACAGATGTACCACCTTTCAGTTTACAATTGCAGACTATCCCGCGTATCGGAGACACTGTCAGGCTTCTGGGTGGCATATGGAAAACTGTGTTTTTGCTGCTCTAAGGACAAGCCCGGCCTTACGTGTAAAGGGGAAGAGAAAGAGAACGACAGCCCTGGGGTGAGGATGAGAGACGACAGGCCTGGAGGGCTGTGCCTGCTGCTTAAGGAGAGGGAAAAGGCAGGCTCAGAGTGTACCTTTCCATCCTCCCTCGCCTCTGCTCACACACAAGCAGTATCTGCCACAACCTGGCCCTCCAGCTATATGATAAACATATAGTCATGGCAGGCCTCTGGAAGAGGTGAAGCTTGTGGTGGTGGTTTCACTGTCCTTGGCATTGTGCAGCCACTGAGCCCCTTGCGGGCGTCAGGAGCCAGCCCTCATACCACTCTAGGTAGGAAAATAAGGGGCTAATCAAAATGTTTGCATTCATGTTTCCTTTTTACCCTAAAAAATTCCTTAGTGGAGCCAGCTTCCAGGGTCCCATAGGCGATTTCTGTCTGCTTGGCCAAGTCCTCTGCGCTTTCGATGGGAGAAACCATCCTTTCCACTGTCAGGAAGGCAGCCAGGTTAGCTGTGTAGGAGGATATGATGATCAAGGTGAAGAACCACCAGACGCCACCAACTATGCGGCCGGAGAGAGATCTGGACACAGAAGGGAGAGTTAGACAGGCCAAGTGTGAGGGAGGAAAAGGTACAGGTCACTCTCGCAGGCCCATCGTTTAACTGGGCATTTACCCAAAGTCATGTTCTGCAGACACTTCTTGGGGAGCCGGTCTCTCTCATTCCTTGACCTATTTTTCAAGGTGTCAGTGTAATTGTGTGTGGGGGGGGGGAATTTGTCACCAGTCACCAAATATCCTCAGAAAAGTGAACGAATTTGCTTTGATTTTCAATTCCTTTCAGAGTGCATAATAATAACAGTAACAAAATGTGGTGACAACTACCAGGAAGGTTTAGATTCCAGGGCAGGATCATGTTCATCCGAACAACAGCTCTAGCAAGGTCTTTGTTATGGCTTATATCCACAGCGAGAAGGAGCACCAGCGTGGAGCGCCAGACCAGTTACACAGATCAGAGGAGATCATCTGCTTAGTCCCTCTGTCACCTGAAGTTTTAAAATCAAAACTCATGACTTCTTTAAAAGACATATTGAAGCTCAGAGGGAAGCTATAGCCTTAATGAATAATTTGCCCACTGACATTCTCTGTTTGGTATTCAGCAGAAGATTAGACGAGATGTTCATAATAGCACCTCACAGTCTGGGTATCTTGCACTCACTGCAATCAAATAGACAATTATCTGTAGGCACTGGATAGATACAGAGACAAATAAGTCAAGCAGGCATTAATTTACATTTAAATAATTTCAAATCATTCTTAAGAGCTAAGATAATTTTTAGAATGATGTCAGAACTCATGCATTCTGCCTGAGGTATTTGTACTCTTTTTCTCTAGATGCAGAGCACCGTCCCAGACAGAAAGTAACTTATAGTGCTATTTTATAAAGCCAGACACTCTGACTAGGGAGGATTTGTTCATGAGCAATTGGTCATTGCTCCAAGGGAGATCGTGTTCTAGCATTACTTTCTGCTGACCTGGGTCACTCCCCAGAAATACGGTTTATCAGATGGTGATGGAGATATCTCATTCCAATGAAGGACCCCCAAACCAGCCCATATCAGAGTGTGCCACTCTTGTGTTGGGGTCTGCACGAAATCTTGGGTCTCGCTGCTATGACTTACCGGAGGTTAACACAACTCGACAAAAAAATCTGCACGCTCCATTGCTCCAGCGAGGGAGAAAACACACACTGCTGATCACAGAAATTAGAGCTAGAAAAAGACTAAACTCACATAGTCTACCTGCTGCATGATTTATCTAGATTATACACTTCTGCTTTGTCCGGTCTGGTTTTAAATGCCACAGAAGTGAGGGGTGCTGTTCCGTCTGACAACACGCAAGCTCCTCATTTAGATCACCTCCTGAAAATCTTTAGATCAGCATGAAATCTCTGTAGCCAAAACGCTTTGAGGTCCCTTCCCAGCAGAAAGCAGGCACCGGCTTTGCTCAGCAACAGCGCTCCCACATGCGCTTGCAACACATGGAGCAGAGCAGAAAGTACACATTTTAATACAAGGAAATAAATGCCACTGCACCGCACACGCTGTGGCTCCCTACTCCCCGGAGGACGGTCACAGCACCTGTCACCATGGCAGAGGAAGCAAACTGCAGGAAACGTGACTACAGTAGATTATAGGGACAAAGAGGACAAGCAGTATATTGTACAGCTGTGTGACTGAAATGGTTTTTCCTGTGATTAAGACTGGGTTAGGGTTTCCTCTGCAAAGGGGCCTCATTTCAGATGAGAGCCTCTGCCCTCCCCTCTGTTTACTTCTTCCACGTGCTTTTCCAAAACTGGACAGCAAAGTCCCTCTCACCACAAAGCCATGCTCATTAGTGAATGGCTTCAAATGACCCACCTCTGTTTTTTCAGGAAAGTCCACAAGACCTCTCCCCAAGATGATACTTTAGGGAGCTGACAAATTCTTTTCTTAACTATCCACAACGTAATAAAGGCATGACAGTGGGAAGCTGCTGTAAGGTCTGCAGCCTGCTGGCAGGGCTCTTGACCATAAGCTATACGCCGCTCTCCCTGGCCGCAGTGCCTCACGCAGACCTCCTCCACTGCTGGCAACTGCAGCAATATAGCTGAGCGCACAGATGGTCCCTCGTCCCAAATTAATATCTTGCTGAGCCTCCCCAGCTCCGCTGGCCAGAGGTGGGGACCAGAGGCTGGCTGTGGGCATGCTGAGTGCTGCAGGAGAGGCAGGCCAGCAGGGAGTGCTCTTCTCCCTTACCCTTGACTCTCTAAGTTCAAGGTGTTTGGTTTAGTTTTACTGCTGGGACACTCCTCAAACAATGGGAGATTAACTGGCACCTCAGGGACAGTTCACTCTGTCCATGCCAGGTTGGGAGGAACTCCCGCTGGAGACTCCAGCTCTACTGACTGGCAAAGGAGCCTGGATGACCAGGTTGGACTAGGCAGCTAATTTTTAAGAAGCTAAAGTTAAGCAAGTCGAATGTCACCTCTGTGCTTCCCACCTGCGGAGAGTTCTCAGCCCGCAGGGCTGTCAGCACAAATGTATTTACCTTTTGTTTCATATTTGGAGAGGGATCATGGGAGAGAGGCAGCTATGGAGTCAGCTCAGACGTCTTCAGATTGACAAGGAAGAGAAAAAAATACCTATCTCTAATTAGTCTGGATGATGTGTGCTTAGGGAAGGAAGCACTTCGAAAAGACACAGAGGCATTAAACAAAACTAACTGGATAATGTCAAATACAACAATATCTGCTGATGAAGGCCACTCTGAGCTGGCAAAACCTATTTGCATGGCAAATAATCACATTCATCTCCAGCTGCAAATTATATAGCTTTTCCTTCCTGATGAAGCTGGGATATTTCTGTGACTTGTTTCAATCCGATCAGCTGCAGTCAGCCGGATTCCTGCCTTTAGACCTTAGACACCCCAGCTGTATTCATTACTGGCTTATCCCATGGGGGCTGCCTGCTGTCAGCTGCAGATGGCTTATGCTTCCCAGCTCCGCACCTGGCATTAACAGGATGAAAAAGTACCTATAGGTTTTCAGACTTGGAAGCAACAAGGAGAGCTGGGGAAGGAGGGGGAGGGGGCATTAGCTTCTCGCCCATTAGAGCCAACCAGGGTGAGTGTGCAACATGCACCCATCTCATCTGGGCTGTATCTGCTCTTGGGGCTGGTCCTTTCTCTTCATTACATGAGATGCCATAAGTAGGTGGGAGCTCACCCTCACGGATGGCAAAGGAAAAGGGAAAAGATAAGTTTGCTTTTGCTGTCCATGTGGCTAGGACTTTGTGTGTCTGATAATAGGCAGCATTTGCCCTCACTGCTACACTTAGAGCTAGGAGCTCTGAATGTGGACTGCTGCAAACACATAGCAGCGAAAACCCGTAGCATACAGGCTCTCCTTTTGCTCTGAGGCTGTGCCATGTCTAATGCAAGGGAGTGCTGGCAGGTGACGAAGGCTCCTGGAGGCTAGTGCAATATGATAAAAAATATAAACACAGTCATGATCCCACAAGCAGATGCAATCCCACGTAGCTCAACAGCAGTGGACATAGGTTAAACAAGACAAGCTGGATACTCAGGTTGGCTATTCAGCTTTTGAGTCAATACCCGCTCCTGTTTACCAAAAGTAAGTGACTGGAAAGACAATATCCATTGTCTACTTCCTTAGACCAAGAGAGAGAGCAATGCTATCATCACGGGAAACATTTGCAAAATTGCCTTTGTAATTCAGGAGATAATGCACCATTTCTAGAAGTGACTTCAATACTTGGGAACTAAAAGTCTGACTGAAGGCCCGTGGGACTTAAGAGTTATGTTTATGTTGTAGTCAGAGCAGCCACGGAGGAGCAGATATACCCTGCACTTGCAAGTCACTTTGAGCTTTTGAAAAACTCACCCCAATAGCTAGATAACAGAAAATGAATGACCTTCCATTTGAGTAACAAAGTCTGTAGCCTGAGCCCTAGCAAAGTTCATTTCTCTTCACTAACGGGCAGTATGGGTTTTGAATCCTCTTGCACCGAGAATTTACATGTCCCCATACCCCTCCAAGCATAACATGAAGGCAATGAGCTCTCTGCTGTTTGGAAACAAGTTACCAACTCAGTCCTCTGCAGAGTTAAGGTACGATGGAGCGTACCAGTTAGTACTGTAAAGATAAGCCAAGGTTTTGACATTTGGATTTGTCTATTTGACCTTTAGATTTATTCACATTCATTATCATATTAATACTAGCGAATAGCAGGATTTAAAAAAGAAAACAGAATAAAATAAGCAAGTAATCAGCAAGGATAACGGTGTGATAAAAGGCTTTAATGAATGGCTAATTTTGGGATGTGGAAAATGATGAAAAGGCTACAGAGACTAGATGGTGTATTTTTTAACCTATATTATTCCCTCCGCACCCACATTCTTCTTTCCTACACAATGCAAATTAGATCTCCTGGCTTCTTCTTCCAGCTCTGCCTGGCTGGCTAAAATCACCTCATGTCCCCTCCCTGTCTTGGGGTCTTGCCTGCCATTTAGAGAACAGTGGCAAGAAGGGAGCACTCCTTTCTCATCTTACCTTTGCAGGGGTAAGCAGTAAATACTCTGTCCTCACTATTCATGGTGCAGTCTACTTAAAATTAGAGCTGACTGGGAACCAGAATTTCAGCACTACGGAAAAATCTGAAATTGTAAATTAAACATTAATATTCTCAATTGGAATGAAAAGATAATGGTCAAATGTCCTCTAAAAATAGCATTCTGAAAATGTTTGATTTAGGACCACTGAAGCTTTGTGTTTTTTCTGTTACTTGATGCTTCATTTTCAAATGGCTAAAAGATATAATTTTGACACAATAAACAATTTTGTTTCTGCTTTCTCTTTAAAAATAATTTTCTTTCAGCTTTTATAATACATTAAACTTACCTACCACAAAAATCATTTAAATAATTCTGAAACGTGTTATTTTATGTCTGTCTAATGGAAAAAATTGCCAATGACCAAGCTTAAATTAATCACTTTCCTTGTCTCACTAAGACAATTTTTTT